TTCCTGGGGCAGAAAATCCTTAGTATTTCGAAAAATTCAAAGTTTTGTGAACAGTTAATTCAAAACGTGAAACAAAAATGACCATATCAATTATAATTCATGTCAATACAGATGTGCTGACTGTTAGGCTGTCTTTATCAATATATATGCTGAAGTCTAGACAAGTCGTCTATTAATGTTACAAAAAAGACTGCTAAAAATCTGATATCGTTTAACATGTGTAACACAAAGTACACTGTCAGCAGAATAATTAAACATTTGAAAAACGTACAAATTAAAATCAATGCAGAAAAATCACTCGAAGTATTATATCATAATATTAACAAAAAATGGTGAAAGTTACTGAAAATTAAGTTAAAGTACGTAATCTGTTGATATAGAAACCATGTCTCTTTACACTACGATACCGGCGCTGTACATTAAAGTACGTTATTTCGGAAACGTAAAGAACAGTGATGGGAAACAAGATCTGTGCAAATATTACTACAGAATGTAAAACAGAAAAGAAAGGTGAATTAATAGTGTATCTTAAAAAAAACAGAACACAGTTATTCCACAATACTAAATATATCCTTTACCGAAGTATTATCACCTTTATTACAAAAAAAAACCGGATTCATTTGATTTTTAAACAAATAATTCACAATTGAATAAACAATTATACGGTTCCGAGTAACTTATATGTCAAAAGTGTAAATTTACTCAAGAACTAGACTGATAAGTAAAACAACATAAACAATATATTTGGTTCAATAAATCGCACTTTAAAAATTGAAAAATCAAAATACAAAATTGAAATCATTATACATTAAAGACGTTCATGTTTGTATGGATAATAATATTTTGAAAATTACAGAGGCGACTTGTGTTAAATTATGTTATTCTTCTATGATAAAATTATGACTCTTTAGCAGAATGTGTGGACAAACTCCAAGATTTATAGGCTAACATTATTGTACTTGTAACAGTGCTTAGTGTTAATGTTTTAGCTAAAACAAATGCAAACATTGTATTGTGACATAAACATGATAAATAGAGTAAAGTGAATAATCTTTATCTGTCAAAATTCTATTGAGAATCAAATTTATCACGCATTTAGACATGTAAATCATATATCCACAGTTAAATGTTAGCCGGTCAATGAGTTACAAAAAGAACACTTACTCGATTGATTGTTGGATGCTTAACGTCCAGTGGCAAATAGTTCATGCATGTTCAGGACGATACACTTACTCAAAAAAGTAATGATAATTCATGAGTTATTCTGATCGATTTAGTATAAATAAACGCGTTATGAGCAATGAATTATACTGCAAGTACATTCATCAATATTGTCTCGCAAACATTTAACAGCGACTGAAACTTGTGTCAGAAAGGCATCACAAAGACAAGTGATACAAGATAAAAATGAGGGTCTGGAATATTAGGGGTCTTCACTTCCATATTATTTACAATTTAAGACCCAATTATTCTTCGTTCTTAACACTTAAAGGTGAATATTTTCTTTTCATTACATTTAAGGACCCAATTATTCTCTATTCTTTATTTGTTTGGAGATTATTCTTTGTTCTTTTAACACCGTCTAGAACCCCAACAATTCTCATATAACAAACAAAAATGAAAAATGCGACAACTGTATAAGATAGATTATACATCGATACAAGTCGGCAAAACATGAAACGTCAATTAAGAATATATTTGTATAAGAAAATAAAGTTTAACTCGCATAATTGAACATATCATCTTAATGCACCTCAATCACTTAATTCTAGTCAAAGTTCTGCCATTTCACAGTTCCCAAAAAAAAAATAAATAAAAAAATGATAAGAATTTCAAGCATGTATCTCGGGAAAATTTGGGGAAGGTGAATGACACGGGGGTGCTCATTTCCCAAATTCCGCTTTTTTGTAATTTTTTCACATTTCTCACTTTGGTATGATCTTTCCTATCAGATCAAATAAAGCATCCTAGAAAAAGTTGATTAACTTGTATGTAAAATTGGCATCATTAATATAACTACTTCATCTTGCCTACTTCATTGGCAAATCAATACCGCTTTATGGCTTAATTTACAATGCACTATATGAGAGGACAGACAGATCTTAACAAGTGTACAAACAGACAGCCCGATAATTTTGTATAGAAATTGCTAACACTTTTGCCCGTTTCAGTTCCGAAAACAGAAACCAATACATGTATAATTGAAGCCTCCGAATAAAGATGTTATTTGCTGCTAAAAGTCAACATGTTTTTATTTATTAGCTAACCTACATGTACATGTGTTTATTCAATTTGTTGATAATCTCTTATTTTATCTCCTCACGATTTAGACTTTCGCAAAAAGGCCAAAAGCCAGTTTGGACTTAAAACTTATCAAAGATGACGCAATGTTGTCAATTCTGTAGTTAGTCAAAAGAAGTCGATATTGAGTCGTCTGGACAACCTTAAATTAAATCAGCATTTGAAACATGCTGCTTCTAATATTTTCTGTTCTTCTAGCCTTTACATTAATTCCAGTGCAGATTGTAACGGCATGCAACATATAACCTGTATACATTGACGTTCAGAATTATGTCTACATTATTGGATAATCAAAGTTAACATTTACAATGTTGGGCCGTCTTTATAGATTCTCAAGAACATCAATACTATTCTACAATTTGAACATCGGAAATGAATGAGATGACTCTACAAAGGGTGAATGTTAATTTCTGGTTTTCTCCACATCCAGTAACAAATACATTTCATGAACAAATTCACAATAAATTCTGTATAGGCTCTACAATGTGGCCATTTGTCTTAACATGAAGATGCATATGGCTGGTAAACTATAATACCACTGGAATTGAGGGTAATTATAATGATAAGGAAAGAAATTGTGCCGTATAACGGGTCATCTACGGAACCCTCAAAGAATTGTAGCTAGGGTTCTTTCACGTGTAGAGAGCGTTACTCTTCCCCTACCCGCGTCCCTAATCCGCGCAGCTAATGTGACATCATGTCTTCTTTTATAATTAAGTGTACTAACTGAATCATTATTGTTACAGTTTTATTTCTCTGTCTGGAACCTCAATATCAATTCCAACTGTTATGATAGATAATGAAATCAATATTAAAATTCCACAGGGATTTGGGAATTACAAGAAAAACTATCGTATTGTTAAAAATCTAGAAACGAATACTAACTTCAAGGTGATATTGCATGCCATTATACTATCACTCATATCAGTTCTTCAACATATAATTTTAATCAATATTTGAAAATTAGAAATAGACCGAAAGTATGTGTCAGTATTTTATGTTTAAAATCTTGAATGTAATGTTTCAATAACATGCCAACAGTTTTTTTTAAATGTAAAATAGCACTTAAAAAGGGAATTTAAAGACAAAAGCTCATCTATAAACACTACATATTTTCTTTAATTATTTATAAGTTTCAATCAATAAATGTTACATGTGTGTTATGTTGCTATATACATGCATCAGTGAGAATACTAAATGAAATATTTTAAAAGGAGTATGATGAAGCAATAGAATGATTTCATTGCGATGACGTATTGTTTTTGAGCAACTTTTACAATGATAATAACGGTTTCTTTTAAGGGATTTTCATTTGATACATGTACATGTATAATTTTTACTAATAATTATTTGTACTGAAACGTAAGTTTTTAACGATATACATCTATAATCAAACTTCACTATTAGAGTGAAAACAAAGGTCTTCTTTTACGTCATAGTTGGTACAAAACTATAATTCTTCTGTGCACAGGGAAATCCCCCTAAATATGATGAATACTTGCAGAGCTTGGATCATAATATTGAATAATAACACGAACAATAAAGTACAAAGCAACACGATAACTAATTGATGTTTATGTTTACACACTGAAACATGTATTACTATTTAGAGCCCAGGGAGACAACATAACTCACGTTATAGTATTCCTCTGAGAATGTAGTACAAACAAACCAATATAGCTAAGGCAAAATGAGGACACACGTCTGTAGAATTTAATCTTTTTTTTGTCTTCTCGTTAATACCACTTACAGACTAACGCTGCTTTATATTTTCTGATTAATCAAGTTATCCAAATTAATAAGAAATCTATAGAGGTTTCACCAATGTTTGTTATAGTAGAAAGGAAAAGCGAGTTAACAAACGAGTTCAAATTAAAATTATAAGCAAAGTAAGGATGAAAATAGATTTAAGTTACTAATCAGAAACAGCAATTCTTCATTGTTGTTGTTCGTACAGTGTTAATCGGTTGAAATAGTTGAAAAGGACTGCAAAAAATACGGTAGGTCCGCCAAATTGAGTTTACTGGTAGTCCTCATGTCCAACCAAAAGTTTCTGGTTGTTTTATTCTTCTTTTTATGCTGTCTTGTTTTAAGTATAGATCCGTGATTACAATGTATATTGATATTTAATATGGAACCATATAATTATTGAAATTGGCCTAGTCTTACATGTATGAAAATAACGGATAGTAAAATGTTTCCGAAAATATAGGACCACAATATTTTTACTGGTACCACCAGATTAGAAGGCAAGATTTCAAGAGCTATGTATGAGTTTAAAGTACATTCTGGGTTTTAATGCACAAATTTCATTTTTTTCTGACACAAACATAAAGATATTCATGAAAAAGTTTTTTAATTTCTATTTGAGAATCTTGATATGTATATCTAATCGTATGTACAAAAGTAAGCTACGTTAATTATTTAAGCGTAAGAGATTAATGAAACTATATATGTTAGTACAAAGGTGGTATAAAGCACTAATTCCAATTTCTAACAAATTTGTTAGCACACGATTTTGCATGTTGGTAAAATAAATTAAAGAGAACAGCTGTATCAACAGTGCTGCAGGTATTGTAGTGTCGAATTAAGATAACTGAAGGATAATTAACAGACACTACAAATGTAAATTAAGTACCCCAAGTTATCATTGTAGTGAAGAAATGCACTAGCGAATACAAAACTAAAATATTACTTACAAATTTACGACATCATCTGGAATGCCATCCGGTACCGCTGTCAGGTTTTTTCCTGAACAATCAACTCTTCTTGAATTACACAAACCGGAGCAATGACAAAATTTTGGACATTCATTTTCACAATTAGTACCAGCACTTGCACAATAAACTAACATCATTAATAATGTGACACATTTTAACTTTTCGTAATTTCTCTTTGCCATAATGATATGGTTCTGAAAGATGAATTATCTTCTTTCCCACAATGAATGACAAAATTTGATTGACACACTAGTATCATTTCTGCTATCAGAAAATTTCGATAAACGGGTGCATTTTCCCGGGTAAACTGTAAATACAGATTAAATTTACAATGAAGTGTCTTAGTTTATCAACCATATTTCTATAATTGGTGACTGTTTCAACAATGTTTATCCGTTAAAGATAATTTCGCCTTTTGATTGATAAGCGACCAATAGTCCTTCAGCTAGTTATGTTTAGGTGTAATCCTTACACAGTCTGTTGTTTAAGATCTATACATCACCACTTTAATCAACGAAGTGATCGATGTTTTATAATGACAGATTATCGATACTTTCTTTTCTTCGTTTATTTCCACAAATCTATTCTAAATACGTTTTCATTTATCTTCTATCGAATACACATCTTTAAATTGTATTGCTTAATTACTAATTACTAACAAATCGGTAATAGTCGAGTTACAATTATTCGACTATTTATTGTTAGACAAAGTTACTAAATGCATAACAGGACTTTAACGCAAATCTACCATCATGTTACAGTTTATACTAATGTAACGGATTGTTTATCAACAAAGACAGGCAATTTTATCTAGGAATATTAATTCAAAGCAACAATTCGATATTTTGAGAATACTGGCAGTTACCCGAGTCAATAATATACTGCCATCATTATTCTAGATTGTACATTGATTTTATATCTAAATGAAAATGGATAAAATGGTTGGGAAATAATAAAATACAAATTTTTAATCAATGAGGGCAGATGTTTTCATTAGGGTTTTCAGGTATTGTTTAATGGACCAGAAAAGAAAAAGAAAAAGAAAACATGTCGTGTCCGACGATATGGAGATATTATACAACGACAAATTGAGTCTAAACATGGACACGACATGATAGAATATAAAACATGATGTAGCAAGTTACATGAATCTTGACCATGTCTTATGGGTTTCATTTTATCATTTTTGTTACACCCATGACCGTAAGTTTCATCATTTAATTCTTTTCTTGCATATTTTTTTAAGGATGTTAATTTTGTCGGAAAGGCCTGGATTTTGTAAATCTGCTGTCGTTTAATATTGTAATACCTGCACTCTATAACTATTAGTTGCAAAACAGCTTTGTCGGTCATATTACCTTGGTTATCACTTAGATCCTCGGCAGCAAATATTTTATTTTTTAAAACCTTTTAATTATACATTCAATTATTTCAATTATAAAATTAATTGTATCGTCCTTTTCAAATACTTACAACATATACAATGACTATAGTCTTAATTGTCCTAAGGATGACCACAGTACATTCTACAAATATAAGGGGGAAAAACTACATTCTATAACTGTCCTCAATGTAGTTTATACATATATGTTGTAGGGTAATTTTCTATTCAACTATACAGTGTGTTAGTGTGTCCTGAAGTTAATTTCCTGTGCATGGATTAAGATATTTATTCAAAAAGCTGCAATAAACTTCAGTTTATTCACTTGCTAATCTTACTATGACACAGTATTATTGACATAAGTTAAGAAGGCAATAAAGAACCTATTAGTCTAAAACTATAGTTGATGTTAGGACAAATTTGTTTGTATGTAATTTATTTCCTGTTAAAATGTACCAGAGTCGACAGAAATGAAAGGTGCGACAAGAACATGTGTCATTTTGTATAAATAAAACTTCAAAGATTGTTCTGCGCATTTGATATAATAAATCGGTAATGTTCGTATGCTACTTAGTGACAGACAACATTTAAAGTTTTCTAGTCTTTCTTGAAAATCGAAAACAATTTTCGTGTAAAAATTGACCAACAAAAATAACGATATCAAAATTAGGCACATTGCATTTGCGCTTTTTCTTTAAAAATGCATCATTTCATTTGCGCCAAAAAAAAAAGGGAAAAATAAATATTTACATGAAAATGCAACATAAATGACGATTGAAATTTCTTTCATTATAAATTGTATCCTAAATACGAGGATCCTGTATGAAATTTCCCTAGTTATATATTCAAATTCAATACTGAAAGGTATAAAATTCACATTTTCAAGGTGACAAGATGGACATAATTAAGTCGAGACAAAGAGAGCAAATAAGGCCGTATTATTGTATGACAAAAATACAGATAATCCAGTGTATTGAAAATTAGAAACAAATCTTAAAGATGCAAAGAAGAATCTGTGGGATAAAGAGGGGTACGCTAACTGCCAGTACTCTCAGATCTGTACTTTTTTGTCTTTTTGTTGTCCCCCTGCCACGTCCGGTCTGTGTTTTTGTTAGATGTTTTTCTGCTTTGTATCGATCTGATTAGTTTAGCCATTTTCAACTGATTTTTCTAGTTTGTTGTACTGTTACACCACTGTCCCAGGTTGGGGAAAGTTGGTGCCTTCAAACATATTTAAACCCGCCACATTCTTTGTGTGCCTGTCACAAGTCAGGAGCCTGTAGTTCGGTGGTTGTCGTTCATGTCTGTCCTATTTGTTTTTCATAAATTGTTTTGTTTTAAATTAGGCCGTTATTTGCTCAATTGAATTGTTTCATATTTTCATGTCGGGGCCTTTTATAAACGACTATATAGCATGAGCTTTTTAATTGTTGAAGGCCGCACGGTTGCCTATAATTGCTTACACCCACTTCGTTTGAACCTTGGTGGAAAGTTTTCTGGTACATAAAAACAAGTATGATAGACACAAGGCACAAAGAGCCAATTAAATAATCATGTTCTTCTTTACACACGAAGTCTTGTCTAATATTACTAACGTTTGATTACCTGACCTTTTATTCAACTTTTCTACATATGTTTACTTACATAAACATAAAAATTAATTGCATCTGACCATGCGCGTGATGGCTTGATTAAACCAAAAATAGATTAGCACCAAATGAGCGGCCTTTGATAAGATCTAAGGTATCGCACAGAAACATTAGATGCATCGCGTACCAATAATAATAACACAAGACACCCGAGCACCTTTAGATTTCCAATAACGTAATAAATATACATGCATGGAATACTTAAATTACTACGTATTGTGGTTAACCACAGTGATAGTGGAGTACGGTATGTTATTTTCTAAATACCATATTTTTATACAGGAACATCGTGAGTAGTTGTATTATGTCATATCTCACGTTTTTCTAATGGTATTCTAAAATGAAGCGTAACTTTGTAGTATGTCATGATTGTATAATTTGTAAGAAATATGTTGCTATAATCATGCTAATGATATAATTGACTATTATAATAATAATGAAATATCTGCGTCATAGATAGCCACACATCCCCTCCTTCTTTCTTCGCTTATGAAATAACTGAAGGCTACTAACTTCCTGATTTTTTATTGTAATAAGTAATAATCAGCATTTTTGTTCGTCTTTATCCTTTGGTGTTTGGTTTGGCGACTTATTGTTTTGACTGACTTTCTTTTCATCTCGAGAAATGCTTTGTTAGTGCATTTTTAGATGTCACGTATTTTTTCAGTCAAAGTCGGGGAAAAAGTAAGATAGTCGAAGCGGTGGATTCGTTCGGGGTCGAAAATGAATACACTGGTTAATATTGGTAAGTAAATGTTCAATAGGGAACGTATTTTATTGTATTTTTAATGTAAAAATTTCTGTTTACGCAATGAAAAGCTTGAAAACCGTAGTCTTGATTTTTTGCCTGAATTGACGACCATTGAGGGAAATTTAAGAGGTGTTTGTTTTCATGATTCTATACTCCTTTTTAATGATTTCACTGAATGTTTTTTGTTGTCCATGGAAGCTCGATGGCTAAGCGGTCTAAATAGTTCATTTATTTTTAAAATTTAACATAAACTAAGAGTGGTGGAAGTGGCGTTAAACACAAACAGTCGATCAATACTGTGCTTGAGGTGTCACAATATATGCCATCAATTTGCTGTGAAAACAATACCCAAGCGAGTGCCCTTTAAAATGTCAACTAAAAGGACCCAATGATTTGCACACCTGCATTTGTATGACTAAGTGTAAGAAAATATACATAAAACATTAAGACATGAATACAAGAACAGTCCCAAAGCAGGAAATTAGAGCTGTTATACGTTAACGTTCCTTGAAAAATGTATGACATATGTCAGTAGTTTGACAATCAATTTCTGTGGTTCCTTAAATTCAAGTGAATAATATTGTTTTTTAAAATGTAGGCATACTTAGCATGACTTTGCAGTATTGTACTGTTTTGATTCGAGTCTCGTATAGATGAAACGGGTATCATGAGTTCTCAAGTAAAGAGTCAAAATGACGTGGATGTAAGAAACTTAAGGTCATCGTACGACCTTTAACAATAATCGAAACAAATAATGTACACTCAGTTATAAGAGATATGACACAGTGGCGGATCCAGGTGGGGGGGGGGGTCCAGAGGTTGGAACCCCCTTTTTTTTGACGACCAATGATTTTGAATGGGGACATATTCTTGAAACCCCCCTTTATCCTGGGTTGGAACCCCCTTTTAAAAATGGCTGGATCCGCCTGCTCATGTGACAAAACGTGAAACAATTCAAACGAGTATAGACCTTACCTCTTTGATTGTTGTTTTTACTTTTTTCTTTGGTCTTGTGTTCATGTTAATAATTTTCATGTATTTTATAAAATAATAGGTTGGAAAAAATAGCAAGAGACAACCAAAAAGTCCAATAAAGGGATCACTATGTCCAAAAAGAAAAATGACGAAAAGACAAACAAAACACTACACAACACACTTAAGATTAAGCAACACGAACCCCATAAAAAAACCAGGGATAAACTCAGGTGTTCCAGAATGGTAATCAGCTTCTTTCATTATTGGTACCCGGCGTGTTACTCATTGCAAGTAGACATTCAATAATAAGTCACATTTGGTTATGTCGCAATCGAGAAAAGAGGATATGAATGTGGCTACGACGAGCGAATACCTAATTTATCATTTGCATGAGATACCGGTAGTGACATTAGGCTTTCAAAAATTCATTTTCAACTTCCCATTTCTCCCTTCGAGGTCGACATTCATATTTCTCAGTTCCAACTTGACATTGTTGGTTCCAACTTGACATTGTTAGTTCCAACTTGACATTGTTAGTTCCAACTTGACATAGTTAGTTGTTCCAACTTGACATTGTTAGTTCCAACTTGACATTGTTAGTTCCAACTTGACATTTTTAGTTGTTCCAACTTCACATTGTTAGTTGGTTGTACTTGACATTGTTAGTTCCAACTTGACATTGTTAGCTCCAACTTGACATTGTTAGTTCACACTTGACATTTTTCAGTTTCATCTTAACATTTCTCAATTCCAACTTGACATTTCTCACTTCCAAGTCTACATTTTTTTAGTAAGAAGTT